TAAAGAAGAATCGATACCAATTTTTCTCAAATTCTTAGAAAAAAATAAGAGAAAGGAACACTCTCAAAGTAATTATATGGGACCAACATTATCATCATACCAAAGCCAAACCAAGTATACTACAAGAAAAGAAAATTACAGGCCAATATCCCTAATGAACATAGATGCAAAAATCCTCAACAAAATACTAGCAAACAAAATTAACAGTTCATTGAAAGGATCATATACCATAATCAAGTGGGTTTTATCCCTCAGTGTAAGGATGGTTCAAAATATGCAAATCAACAGATATAATTCACCACAGTGGCAGAATGAATGGTAAAAAAAATCATATGATCTAAATATGTCAGATGAAAAAATTGAACGCTCTTTTATGATAAAAACTTTCAAAAATTGGTTATAAAAGAATATATCTCAACATAATAAAGGCCATATATGATAAGCCCAGAACTAACATTATACTTGACAATGAAAAGCTGAAAGCTTTTTTTCAAAGATCAGGTACAAAACAAGGATGCCCACTCTGGCTACTTCTATTCATTATAGTATTAAAAGCCCTAACAAGAGCAATTAGGCAAGAAAAAGCAATAAAAGACATCCAAATCAGAAAAGAAGTACAAAAAAAAGAAGGAAGGAAGGAAGGAAGGAAGGAAGGAAGGAAGGGAGGGAGGGAGGGAGGGAGGGAGGAAAGAAAGAAAGAGAGAGAGAGAGAAAGAAAGAAAGAAAGAAAGAAAGAAAGAAAGAAAGAAAGAAAGAAAGAAGAAAGAAAGAAAAAGAAAGAAAGAAAGAAAGAAAGAAAGAGAAAGAAAGAGAAAGAAAGAAAGAAGGAAAGAAAGAAAAAGAAAAGAAGGACAATTGTCTCTTTGCAGATGACATGATCTTTTACAGAGAAAATCCTAAAGATTTGACAAAAAAACTATTAAAACTAATAATCCAATTCAGTAAAACTACAGGATATGAAATCAAATACAAAAATCATTTACATTTCTATACACTAACAACAAACTATCTGAAAAAGAGATAAAAACTAGCCCATTTAAAACAGCAACAACAAAACCAAACCTTAAAAATAGTTTGCACACTGAAAACTATAAGATATTAATGGAAGAAATTGAAGAAGACAAATAAATGGAAAGATATTCCATACTCATGATTAGAAGAATTAATATTATTAGAATGTTCATAGTACCCAAAGCAATCAACATACTAAATGTGATGCTTACCAAAATTCTAATGGCATTTTTCACAGAAATAGAAAAACAATACTGAAATATTTATGAGACCTTAATAGCCAAAAAAATCGTGAGCAAAATGAACAAAATTGGAGGTATCACACCACCTGATTTCAAAATATGCTACAAAATCTATAATAATCAAAACAGCATGGTACTGGCATTAAAACAGACACACAGACCAATGGAACAGAATCAAGGGCCCAGAAATAAATCCATGAATTTATGGTCAATTGGTCTTTGACAGAGGGGTTAAGAACATACAATGGGAAAAAGACAACCTTTTCAATAAATGTTACTGGGAAACTGGTCTACCTTATGCAGAAGAATGAAATTGGACCCTTATCACACTCCATATATAAAAATCAACTCAAAATGGATTAAAGCCTTAAATGTAAGGCCTGAAACCATAAAATTATTTGAAGGAAATGTAGGGAGTTTCTTGACATTGGTCTCAGCAATGATTTTTTTGCTAACCCCAAAAGTATAGGCAACAAAAACAAAAATAAACAAATAGAATTGCATCAAACTAAAAAGCTTCTGCACAGAAAAGGAAGCAATCAACAGACTGAAGAGACAACCTATGGAATGGAAGAACATATCTGTAAACTGTACATCTGAGGATGGGTTAATATCCAAAATACAAAAGGAACTCAACTCAATAGCAAGAAAACAAATAACCCAATTAAAAAGTGGACAAAGGACCTGAATAGACATTTTTCCAAAGAAGACATACAAATGGCCAACAGGTACATGGAAGGTGCTCAACATCACTAATTATCACAGAAATGCAAATCAAAACTACAATGAGAAATCACTTCACACCTGTTTGTTTTTGTTTGTTTTACCTCACAACCATTAGAATGGCTAGTATCAAAAAGACAAAAGATAAGTTTTGGTAAGGATGTGGAGTAAAAGAAACCCTTGTACACTGTTCGTGGGGATGTAAATTGGTATAATCATTGTGGAAAACAATATGAAGATTCCTCAAAAAATTAAAAATAGAACTACCATATGATCTAGCAATCCCACTTCTGGGTATATACCCAAGGAAAATTAAATCAGGATCTTGAAAAGATATCTACATTCTCATATTCATTACAGTGTTATTCATAACAGACAACATGCGGAAAAAAATCCAGGTGTCTGTTGACAGTTGAATGGATAAAGATGCTTTATATATGTATATATAAAATACAGGTATTATACACACATACATATACTTTTATACACATATACAAGGGAATACTATTCAGCCATGAGAAAGAAGGAAATTTTGCCTTCTGTGACAACATGGATGAAGCTGGAGGACACTATGCTAAGTGAAATATGCCAAACAGAGAAAGACAAATGTCACATGGTATGATTATATGTAGAATCTAACTCAATCAGTCAATCAACTCATAGAAGGAGAAAATAGAAGGGTGGTAACCAAGATCTGGGGGTATGGGTATGGGGAGATGTTGGTCAAAGGAAACAAAGTTGCAGTTATGTAGGATGAATAAGTCTAGAGATATAATTTACCAGCTTAATGACTCTGTTTAATAATACTGTATTTAACACTGGAAATATATAAGAGAATAATTTCAGATACACTTATCACACAAAAAGCAGTATCTGTAGAAGGTGATGATATGTTTTTGTTTTGTTTAACAATCACTTTTTTTAAAAAAGATTTTTATTTATTTGTCAGAGAGAGAGAGAGCACAAGCAGGGGGAGCAGCAGGCAGAGGGAGAAGCAGGCTCCCCGCTGAGCAGGGAGCCTGATGCAGGGCTCAATCCCAGGACCCTGGGATCATGACCTGAGCTGCAGGCAGACACTCAAACAACTGAGCCACCCAGGTGTCCTGAAGGTGATGATATGTTAATTAGCTTGACTGTAGTAATCATTTCCCTATGTATATGTATATCAAATCATCATTTTGTACAACTTAAGTATATATGATTTTTATTGAAAAATATATAAATAAATGAAAAAAAGTTTTAAAAACCTCTGAAACTGAGGCCATTTGTTGTAATGGGAAGGAAATGCTGCTGTCAGGGTGTAGAAGCATTGCAGGGTTGACCTGGCAGGGACAGAAAGCAAAGGAAGAGAAGCAGGAAGAAACCAATCCTTTCTACCTCTTCAGCCTTGAGCACCTTTCTACCTCCACTGTTGGGAAAGCCTAACAGAGAACCAGCTGGCAAAGCAGAGATGTGGTCACAGATAACAAAGGCCATCTCTTATCATAAATGACTTAACGGGAATTGATGCCAGAGCTTCCTCCTTTCTCACAGTTCAGCTGACCAAGACCTGGCGGAACACATAGCAGGATATAAAAATGATAGGACCCTAATTAAGGCATAGGTTTTTAGATTGTTAACACCAGGTTTCCATACTCTCATTTGTTTTTCAAAATAAAATATTATTCACAGACCTGCTTGAGATTCAAGGTGAACTCAAGAAATAGCCATCCATACGCACAAAAGATTAAAATTTGCATAGCTTATAGTAAGTCCTGCAACACTAAAATTGCATTTATTAATTTTGCCATAGTGTAAATGTTCAGGGGAAAATACCTTGGAGAGAATATGTTGTATTAACATCCCGAAAATAACAGTGATATGGAAATCAGGGTTGATTTCAAAGACATTCTGCATAGATTTTGTTTTCACACATAGTATTATATTGAATTTCTTCGGATTTGTGATATAAGCTGCCTTACAGAGAGAAATAGAGATGAAGTGACTTTTTAGGCTTTCATCAAGCCCAGTAAATTGTTTTCTACACCTTATGGCACACCAGAAATGCTCCCAAGTAATTCCTCCCCCTGGTTACCTCAATTCTTGAAAACCCATTTCGCTATTTTGATGGTTGTTTCTGAATCAAGGGGACAGAACAATACCTAAAATAGATAGGTAGTCAGTAAATTTTGTTAACTGATGTGTAAGTGCATGCATGGATGGATGGGAGGCTGGATGGAAGGATGAGGGGGATGAAAGAATGAGTAAGTATAAAGTACTTTTCATGATTCTTTGTGAAGCATATGAGAACTGCTACTATTTTTCACTTACAAATTGAGAGATAATGTGATGATTAATCTTATGTATCCACTTGACTGGGCCACAGAGAGGGTGTCCAGATATTTAATTAAACATTACTCTGATCATTTCTGGGAGGGTGTTTTTGCATGAGATTAACGTTTAAATCATTAGACTGAGTAAAACAAATTGCCTTCCCCCCCCGCCCCGATGTGGGTGAGCCTCATCCAATCAGTTGAGGACCTGAACAGAAGAAAATGTCAACCCTTCCCCAAGTAAGAGAGAATTCCTTCTGCGTGACGGCCTTAGAACAAGGACATTGGTTTTTTCCTTCTTTTGGACTTGAACTGAAATACTGGCTCTCCTGTGTGTCGAGGCTGCTGACCTTTGGATGGTAACTATACCACTGGTTGGCTGTTTCTTAGGCCTTCAAACTCAGCCTGGAACTACACCATTGCTTTTCCTGGGTCTCTATCTTACCAATTCACTCTGCAGACCAGATTTATTAGCCTCCATAATCTTGTGCAACAATGCTTTATTGTCTGTCTCTCTCTCTTTCTCTCTGCCTCTGTCTTTCTGTCTGTGTGTGTCCATGTAAATGGACACTTACATGGACACACATATTACACCTATCTATTGGTTCTGTTTCTCTGCAGAACTCTAATACAGATAGTGACTCAAATACATGAAGCAAGGAGACAAAATAGAGATAGACTCTCTCCTGGCTTTTCTTTTCTTTTCTTTTTTTTTTAAACAATATTCAAGTTTATTAAACAAATTAAAAAAAGTATTATAAAATGTTTAACTGTCATCAGCTTCGAGGTTTATGTTGCTCCCGAATTTTGCATATAACTGAACTTTCAGATCCGCTAACCCTCGCTGAATTGATTCCACTCTGGCTTCTAAAGCGTCGATTTCTTCTTGCAAATTTTTCTTTGCTTCTTCTAACATTTCCTGTGTTTCTTGAGAATGGCTAATGAAAACATCACCGATTTGATAAGGTATCATTAAACAATCATCATCTGCAAGCATGATGTCCTCACAAGCATCTTCTAAATTCTGGAGTTGTTTCTTTTTTACTTCTATTTCCTCCTTCAGCTCTGTGATTCTACTTGTATTCCGTGCAAATTTGTTTATCTTCTGTTGATCTTCAAAAGTAACGTTGACATCTTCTGCAGCCGCCTTCTTCATGGTGGCCGCCATCTTCTCCTGGCTTTTCAACTTGAACTTGCAATTTGTATGCTTCCTTTCTTCTTTGATACCACTATTATAATAATTACCACTACTACTACCTGCCATTTATTGTTCACTATCTGCCAACAATGTACTATTCATTTTACCCACTTTATCTCATTCATTGTTTTTGAAAAACTTTTGAGGAAAAAACCAAAGCTGAGTGAATAATAACTTGCCTAAGCTTACATGGCTAATAAAAGGCAAACTTTATATTTGAATCTATTGTCCTCTGATTTCAAATTTTGTACTCTTAACCAGTTGTGGCTCCAATATTAACTCACTGGGTGCCCTTGGACAAACTTCTCCTTATTTTCCCTTTTTGGTTTCCCTGCTTTTATAAAAACCAGGCCCTGAATTTGATGATCTTTACTGCTCCTTCCAGCCCTGACAGTCTGTGATTATGTGATCATTAAGAAGTAGATAAAAGGAATGCCGTGTTCCACCCACAGCTAGGGTCAAGGCCAGGTAAGCACTACGTCCAGCGCGAACTCAGCATCGGGTTAGCACCTCCACAGTGGTATGGGAGAGTTGAAGCATCTTCCTAAAGAACTGTTTGGAAACCCTTTGACTACCTTAAAGATTTTGCCTACTGTTTCTGTGTGGCTCTTGCCCCCATCGGTTTTAGTATTTAACTAGCTAAGTAGATAAAATGTGAAGATAGAAATTAGTTTTCGTTTTTCTTTGCACCTTCTCTCTCCTCTCTGAATATCCCCTGGTTCTCTGATACACTTTTCATGCTCTGGGTGCTCCTTTTCCCACTCCATCCCCACTCCAAGGTCACTGATGCCTAGATTTTACCCCAGGTGCTTCACCTCTCCTGCTTTCCAATGGCTGAAACACCAATGTTTCTGAATGTACAGGTTCATCTCATTTATTATTCCCTCAGGACTCTGAAACCAAATCTGATAGATTAATCAGGTTTTCCAGAGTATGTTATATAGATTGTTAATTATTGTTAAGATTGTTTTTACCAAGAACACAGGGTTCTTTCACCAGATAACTTTAGCCAGGACTAAATAAAACATAATTGCATTAGTTTCTTTATTACAGAACTACTCAGAGACTTTTATGTGTAAATGTGTTCAATTAAACTTTGAGAGGAGGTTTGTGCCATAGACCTCACATTTTATTTTACTTTGGAAACTTCTTTTCTCATAGTATCTTATAGTATTAAAATTCCATAGAATAGGGTGCCTGGGTGGCTCAATCGGTTAAGCATCTGCCTTCGGATCAGGTCATGTTCTCAGAGTCCTGGGATCGAGTCCCACATCGGGCTCTCTGATCAATGGGGAGTCTGCTTCTCCCTCTCACTCTCCTTCTGTACTCTCCCTCTCTATCTCTCTCAAATAAATAAAATGTTAAAAAAAGAAGCATGTATAAATTTAAAAAAATAAATAAAATGCCATAGAATATATTTTGGAACCTTTAGGTTACCAGCATGTTAACAGCTCAGAGTATTCAAGAACACATAATTAAATGGATGCTAACTTTCTTTAGATGGTGGGAATAGGTACTGATGACTTCTCATGCAAAAGAGCAGTCTGTGAGGTAAAAATTAGTTTAAGAAGGGTCAAGAAGTTCTGAGTATCTTAACTACCACATGATATTATGAAATAGTATGTTTCTGCACCAAGATAAAAGTTTAAAATATTAAAGCACATTATTCCTTTACTAATTCTCAAAAACATAATGTACTTATTCTTTGGCAAACCAGGTTTATAGAACTTAGTCACACCATAAAAATACCACAGAGCCCAACCTTTAGCATATGTTGTCTTTTGATATTATAAACAAGATCATAAATGATCTGATTCAAATGTTGTTTGTTATATTCTCTATTTGTACGATGTAGCATAAAATAATTATAGATCAAAGAACGTGTGCATTTTAAATATCAATATATTGCTGAATTGTTCTCCATTAGCATGACAGATTAACATGGATCAAGTTATATTCCCACATCTCTGTGTGTTTACACCTTCACCATGAATAATCATTTTGAATTTTGACAATGTAATAGGTATTAAAAAAATCTCACGATAGTTTCCTTATTGCTTTTATTAAGAGATTGAACATCTTTCATTTATAGCTTATTTGCTATAAACTATATATATTGTTTCCTTTATTATTGTGTTTTGGGTTGTTTGTTGGTGTTTTTATTCATTAAACTCAAAAGTCTAGCTAGAATTTATTTTGGTTTTTGATGTGAGGTAATAATTCCTTTTCCCAGATGGGAAATTAACTCAATAAGAAATAATAAATTATCAGATCTTCACTAAAATCCAACATATTTGGAGGCATTACTTCTAGATTTGTTAGTTGCATTGATTAGAAGGTCTATTTTTTGCACCAGTATTACATTGTCTTAATTATTTTAGATCTGAATTATATTTTCATATGTTAATTTTCTAAGTTACATTTACAGATTTTCATATGAACTTCAGGATTACTTTTCAGTTACAAAAATGTATTAGTGTTTTTGTTTGGATTACATAAATTTCTAGAATTTAGTGATGATTGACACATTCGGGATGTTGAGTCTTTTTTATCCAACAACATAGTATGTAAAGTAATGAAATTTATATGACCTCCTAAACAGCAAATTATTAAATATATAAGCATCATTTGGATTTTGCATAAATCTTTATAAGCCTGACCTATAAAAGGATTGTATAAATGTTTGTACTAACAATTATCATAGTGGAGTTATTTTTTTCTATCATAATTTCTGAGATAGAGTTTGTTTTTAACCCAGGTACTATTTTCTTTTTCTTTTTTTTAAGATTTTATTTATGTATTTAGAGAGTGTAAGTGGGGGGGGTGTGGGGTGGAGAGGGAGAGGAAGAGAATGCCAAGCAAACACCACACTGAGTGCAGAGCCTGACCAGGGGCTTGATCTCATGAGCCTGAGATTGACCTGAGCTGAAATCAAGAGTCTGATGCCTAACTGACTGAGCTACCCAGGTGCCCCCAGGTCTTGTTTTCATGTGTTTTTTGGATTTTTTTGTAGGCTCCATGCCCAGTGTGAAGCCCTACATGGGTCTTAATCTCATGACCCTGAGATCAAAACCTGAGCTGAGATCAAGAGTCAGAGGCTTAACTGACTGAGTCACTCAGGCACCCCTCATGGTTTCTTTTTTAATTTTATTGGCCAGCTACTTAACCAATAAATTATTTTCTATGGGTAGAAACTCACTTATATAGAAAGACTTACCTATAATAAAAAGACCAATTCTGAAAAATTCATGTATTAAGGTCAAATTAAGATCATAAAAAGAAAATAATCAAGAGATGGTTGATCATAATAGACATTGGACTTGTAAAATTGTGAATCCCTAAAAAGAGAACATGTTTGAGGATTTCTGTTGGCTGTTTTAGCTTGGATTAATGCTATTTGATCATGAATGACAAAGAAAATAGAAACATCTCTAAATGAAATAATAATTCATATAATCTGCTTACCTCAAATTAGAGCTAAACTCTAATATTTGGCAATGGTTCTAAATAGTTCTCTGACATTCTCAAGCATTGATCTGGTCATTAGCTGATAGATATGCTGGTTAGAAAATAAGTTATCTAAACTCTTTATTCTCCCTTGGAGTCATACTATATGGAGGGTGACAAAGAAATTTTCTAACTGCTGAGATGTTGAGAAATGAGACTATACAAGCACCAAAGGAAATTATGGGGTTTGTGGATTTAGCTCTTGGCAATACTTACTTCATACACTCAGCATATGCATGCTCACTTGCTCAGGGGCACAAGACTTAATGCCCTCCTCATAGTAATCCTTGATTTTGTTTTGTAAATGATTGGTATAGCGCATCCATTGTTGGAGTTCAAAAATAACCTGGGTTCCTTTTTCCTCCTCCCTTTCTCTGTTCTGAACATGTTGAGAAGAATAAAACTGCTAAGAGATTAAATATTGGTTTTAGTCTTTTAAAAATGCTAAGAAAGAAACCTCTTGGTGTGGAAGTCAAATGGCCCATTTACTTGAACCTGAAGCCCAGGGTAGACAGATTTATAGAAGGAGACATAGGCACCCAAAGCCTACAGAAGAGCCTGCCCCTGGAGAAGGAGCCAAAATATCCCCTTTCTGAGGGTAATTCTTCCCAATAGGAAGGGCTGAACTGACTCAAGAATGTCCAGTTATATTCACCAATTTTACCACTCAGAAATATCTTCCACCTCCTCAGTGGCAACGCACGTAAGTGAACAGAGATATATTTGGGAGGACCCTTATGGAAACTGGAAGGAAAAATAGGCTTCCTTCTTACTTCCACCCTGCTTTTGTAACTAGAAAAATGTCCTGGTTGGTCCCCAGTCTAAGGATATGTAGGGCAAATGGCTTAGCAAGAAGAAACTAGATCTTTTTTTTTTTATTATTATTAACATATAATATATTATTTGTTTCAGGGGCACAGGTCTGTGATTCGTCAGTCTTACATTATACACAGTGCTCACCACAACACATACCCTCCCCAATGTCCATCACCCAGCCACCCCATCCCTCCCACCCCAAATATCTGCATTATTTGATGATTTTAACTCATAGAGTGACATGCTCGCTTTGGATGCCCATCATTGTTGAAAAGCCAACAGACAATTCTAGAATTTTCCTGAAATTCAACCAACTGACTTGATCTCATCTTCCTCGTTTTCAAGTAATTAGGGGAGTATTTCCACTACTTATTTAAAACACACACACACACACACACACACACACACACACACACACACCCCAAGCCAGATTTCTTTTCAAATGACATTCTTCTAGTTCCATGTATTGCTGCCCTAAACAAAGAAACTGTTAGAGTCATCAGAGTCAGGGACCTTAGGGTTATCAGAGTCGGGGACCATAGATTCAAGTATTTTGTCCTTATCACAGAGTTAAGAAATAACACACTTTTGAGTACATTCTGGGCCAGATGCATGATTTATCTACAACCATAGGGCAAATGGCAGGAAGA